TTAGGATAAAAATATGTGATTACAACAAAGACTAATAGAAGAACAAAGGTTGCTTTCTTTATAAATTTATTATTAATTTAATTCTAAAAGTTAAAGGCAATTATAAAATTTTAAAGCCGATTTAATAATTAAAGCCTAAGAATTAGGGCTCCAGCCCACAAAACGCCGCCGTTTTTCTAGTAATAAATTTAATTGTCGATAAGCGTTAGTTGAAATTTAAATTAGTACCTTTAGGAATAATTCTGGCTTCTAATTTTTTGCAAATAGCCATTACTGAAGGAATAACTTCAAGGGGTGCTTTCACATCAACAAGTTCAATATCAAATTTTCTATAAATTAAAGCCAATAACATTTTCATTTCATTCATTGTGATTTTTTTACCCGGACAATTTCTTAAACCTGCACCAAATGATGTAGATAAAAAACTATATAACTTATCAGTATCTTGAGGTTTGAAGAATCTTTCCGGAATGAATTTATCAGGATCTTTCCAATAAAGAGGGTTATAATTAATTCCATGAGTATACAACGTGAATAAAGTATTTGATGGCCATTTATATCCCGCTACTTCATCAGGTTCTCCATTATATCTCGTAAGAACGGTAGTTGGTGATCTTATTCTCAATGACTCTAAAATAATTGCTTCACAATACTTTAATTTTTCAAGGTCATCTAAAGTTATTCGTCTAGTTGGATCATCCTTAAAAACTGAGTTGATCTCATCTAATAACTTCTTTTTGGCATCTGGATGATGTGCAATGTTATATAGTGCAAAACTAAATGCACTTGCAACCTATTAACACGATCATACATATAAAAACATTTATAATGTCAACAATGGAATTAAAAACTTATAAATAGAATAAAGATATGTAATATAGAGAAAGCAAATATCAAGATGAATTATTCATATTTGCATAATAATTCATCACAACATCTTATCTTTCTATAATTCACACCAAAATTTACATTATACATACAGAATCCGTACTTCCAGTAAGTGTGTCAAATAATATAGAACTTATTTCTTCATCATTCATTGGCCTTACTAAAGAAGAATCAACTCTTTTTTGAGGACGAGATTCGTATGGCGTATTAGCAATAATAAAAGATGTCAATAGATCATCTTTTAATAGTTTCGAATCAAAGCTATTACTATTACTGATTTTTTCAATTTCTTTTCTTCTATCTCTAACACTTTCTAATAATTTATCAAGTAAAAAATTTTTGACTTCTATAAATTTATCTACACGATATCTGATCTTAGGTAATATTTTTAAATGTTTCGGCGTAAATACTGTTCGAAAGTTAACCAAAAAATAAGTTAAACATTCAATATAATATTCTGAATCTATCATATTTTTTGTAGTTTTTTCATTCTTTAATGTACGATAATAAAAATTAATCGCAGATGATCGCTTTCCTGTTGACAATAAGAACATTAAGTCATTTATAAATCGTTTTGTCCAAGCTGTCAAATCAATAATTCCTGAATTATACCCATTTTGATTCAAGTCTATCCAACAATTTGACAATTCTTCGAACAAATCGTTTATAAATTCAATAGTTCTATTCGAATTACTTATTCTCTCAATTGCTTGTATATAAATTTGACGATTAAACTTCCAGTTATTGAAATTAACATTAAATACCAATCCTCTATGAATACCAAGATCTTTGAGCATCTCAGCTTTTGGGAATCTCTTCCAGTAAACCTTGCAATCTTTCGAGGATGGTGCCAAAAATTTTTTTGCATATTCAGCTTTAGTAATTACGATTTGTCTATGATTGGCAATATAAAATTCAAATATGCCATTATAACCATAAATTTTATTTAATTTATCAAGATCATTATTCACCATTAAAATTCCAATTAAAGGAATTGGTATTGGGCCGGGAAGTGGATTAATACGAGTAAAGTATTTGTAATAAAAATGAAATATATATGAACATATTACAATAAGTAAAATATTAATAATATCTTCTGGTTTGGCGTAAGTCAAAATGTTGTACAATAAATTCATGGTTAAGGTTAAGATAATGAGAGTTTTGATTAAAAGATTATATATATATACCGAGTTTATTAAAAGCCCTAAACAGGATCTTTTTGCTATCTCTGCTCATAATTTACTTGTGTATATAAATTTATAAGCACGTTTAATATTAGTGAAGGCAGCAAAAAAAAGGTCCTGTTTAGCCAACCCGGTATATGGAAAAATCTATTATTGGGGTGCTTATAACGAAAATTAGGGTTACATATTTTTGATGTCCAAAAAAATCTCGTTTTGTAGATTACAACGATTACCCGGTGACAAATAATGTAGATACATTTTTTAAAATATTATTTATATATGCCATGTGATATAAATAATTGTGCAATGCATGTGATTTTTAATTTTTCACTATGTAAAAAATTGTATCACACCGGGTACCGTATACAATACTATATGTAGACCATTTAAATCTCATATGCAAGAATTATTGATAGATAAAATGATGAATAAAGATATTTTATGTAAGATAGGATAGCTAATTGGAAATTAAAAATAAAATCTCTATAAGAAAAGTGGAATGTACGAAATAGCACGGTAAAAAATGAACGATATTGCGGTAAGGGTGGCAAGTTATATCGGAACGGCTACGTTTTGCAGAGAGCAAAAGATCAATAAATGATTTTTTTAATATAATTTAACTGAAGAAGCTGTTCTGAGTATCTTAACAAAAAAAATTCTTTACAAAATTTTACTTCATATGCAGCTAGTTTGTTCATATTATATTGATTACTAATGTATATTTTATGTTTTAATCTTTAGTTCACATGTTTGTGTTTTTGTTATTGCGGTGGTACATACGTACGTGAATTTGCGTATCATTACCCTGTGACAAATCCCGTGTCGATTCGACTTAGTAAACAGTCCACCGAATCCGTACCAACCATATCCGTACAAATCTCGGACCTTGACCCGTGCCGATCCAATACATTTTTTTTATAGGGAATGAATGAAAAAAACATACTGAGATAAAAAGATAGGTTAAATGTATAAGCCCAAAATGTATAGAAATCATTTGAGCACTACCATAAGAAAATGAAATTTCGGACTTTCAAAGAAATTCAGCTGATCAGATATATGTGATTACATGTCATAGATGTTACTATTGTACTATCAGGTTTTTAAAGGCCGAACTAGTAAAAATGAATTATAAAATTGAAGGCTCGAGGTATGATTTACTCCTTTCATTTATGATAGTACATAAATTATTTTATTAATAATATAACTTACTTTACCATACTTAGATAAAAATTTGAAATTTTTTAGATTGCAATATAACTTAAATATTTTACGATATGCTGTGCTAAGCTATGTCGATTTTAAATGTAAAAGATGTGTATATTAATATGGAAGGCCATAATAGTATGGTTAATGGTGTAGAATACGTACCTATTTGAAATTTTTTAGATTGCAATATAACTTAAATATTTTACGATATGCTGTGCTAAGCTATGTTGATTTTAAATGCAAAAGATGTGTATATTAATATGGAAGGCCATAATAGTATGGTTAATGGGTAGAATACGTACCTATTTAAAATGCCATATATACTTATACCCCATACCGTACATCCACGCCAATACCATAATTTGACACATTGCCGTTCATTTTAGGAGTTAAGTGAACGAAATCGACAAAATTAAAAAAAAGATCAACAGACGAATAGATTACAGAATTTAAATTGCCAATATGAGATCGAAAACAGAAATTTATTATTTTCGAATATCTATATATTTTTTTAGTCACATTAGTTGTTACATGTAATTATTTTTATTAATTAACAGTATATTATATGGAGGTCCCACAGAAAAGGTGGTGATGGGCCAACCAATCAAATTTTGAGATTTTAATCCTAGCATTGTCCAGAAAAAATGAACTGGATTATTTTTGCTGTAATTTCGAATACTGATCTCTGAACAAATTATGAATATTAATTCAATGAAAATAACATTTTTTTTTTTTAGTGGGTCACTAAGGTTTCGTCATTTTAAGTTTAAGGTTCCGTCTTTGTCAGAAGATTTTGGGTGTTTCGACATTCGTCAGAGGCTTGTATTTGGGGTTTAGGTTAGAGCTGTGACCCGGGTTGACCCTTGTCAATAGTCACATAGGTTAAGCTTGAAAATATATTTTGAAATATGACCATTTTAACTCGGAAAATCTCGGGTTTTGTGTCAAAACTTTCGATATTGCTCGTAATTATAGTTCTTCCATTTTCTACTTCGGAAAAATCCGGTTATTGCAATCTATATGTCCATTTAACTGACCCGTTTGACCCGTCAAAATTCTGACCCGTACGGGTCAAGCCAACCCGGGTAACAGCTCTAGTTTAGATTTCGCCTAACAACTATAGTTGTAACTGTGGGAAAACTTGGCTAACATGAGGTCAAGTTAGCTCCATCAGGAAAATTAAATAAATGTATATCTGCAAAAATCTGTATTTTTGCAGCATTTTTAAAAAATCTGCAAAATCTTTTTTTATACAGAATTGCATTTAATTTTTGAAAATATAGCTATTAGGTTTGAAGGTTTGCACAGATTTTCATTTAAGTTATTATTTAATTTTTTTCAAATCTGTAAAGAACTGCACTAAAAAAATTTCCTGATATCACAAGTATAGGCTATGCGAAATGAATGTTTATAAAGGATTCGGATTTAATGATAACGGATTATTAAAGAATGTATTTAGTTGGTATACAATTCATAAGGACTTTATTCATTATTTCATTTATGATTCATTCGAAAAATAATTAATTCTCTTTATTAGTTTAGCTGTCATATTTATATCTGAAACCAATATTTGTGGTCTCGAACCAAGATCCATGGTCCTAAACCAAGATATATGGTCTCGAATCAAGATCATGGTCCTAAATCAAGTTCTATGGTCTCGAACCAATACCTGTGGTTCTAAACGATGCACAGCTGTTCTATAACAATAGTGCTAACGAATATAGTAAGAAATAACTAGCTATACGCCTGCTCATGCGCTGGGAACTTCTTTTTGATATCTTTTGTTAAGGTTTGTTGGTTGGCAAGAGTTTTCTTCTATAAATTCTCGTACAAACCAATCATACCAAGCATATCGAATATAGATACTGATGAAATTTAACAATATTGCTGCACTGAGCAAGGGTGTTCACAAGCACTTCACTCATTGGATCGGAAGTAAATTTAAATTTTTAATTGGTCGGAAATTTAATAG